GCGTATTGTTATTTTAGTGTTGTGTGTTCATTGTGCAGCAATTATTCCAATGTAAGGGGACCATCAACATTTTATAAGACTTCTACTTATTTACATGAAATTTCACATGCCATTTAAAACATCTTTAAAGGCAACATTATGGTCACTAAAGTAAAAAGCAATTATTCTTTAATAGAGGAACATATGATTTTAAAAATACATACACATCCAACTTGGAGATGCTGAGGACATTAGACAGCTGGCCATGCTCTCTACGGGTCAAAGCCCTTATGACCATTCCCATCTTCTCCAACTTGAACTCAACTAACGTCAAAACAGAGAGCTTCATATTATGTATCATGTCCCACAAGACTATGTAGTACTTTATTCAAAAGACTTTTGGTTGAATAACTGGAAAAAAGAAAGAAACAATAAAAAGAAAAGTGTGTGTGTGTCTGGAGGTGGCTTAGTGTAGTAGGGTAATCTACTGTAGAGAACTTATAAGAATGTTATCATTGATCATAGAGAATAAAGACTAGCCATGAGATTCAATAAATACCATTTATAAACAATTACTTGTGGGTTTTAATTCAGTTTGGTTCTTTGCTTGAAGCCAAACTTTGTCCTAAGTAATGGATAGATGCTTTACTGGTGAAGCTCTTAATTATTTAGCAGTTCTCTGGAGAAGCGAGCTCATGTTTCTTGGCCTCTCATCATAACCCTCGGATAAAGGGAAGCAGGGTCCTTTTGAGGAATGAGACTTCTGAAGCAAAATGCAGATGTAACTGGTTGTGTGGTTTGGACGAGGAGGGAAGAAGTTCAAAATTGGTGGGCTTCAGTTGGGGTTTAATGTGCACATTTTAATCAGCACAGGTATTTCAGAGTATCAAGGTCATGGCCAGTGACTGGCTGTCATGTAGCTGGGAGGATGCATTTCAGGTGCACTATATTATTTGGAGTCCCTTACTTCAGCCAGTTAATGTAACTTAATGCCAGGGAAAATATCAATGGAAACACAATGTACTCAGCGAAGGTGTTCTTTCCTTTGCATAAAAAATGGAAACAGCATACTGAAACAGCCTGATTCCAATTGCCTTTTTCCTACTGAAATAAGGAACATGCTTTCCTAAAGCAATGTTCTCTATTATTATTAGTTTATAGAGTGAGTAATTGTCTTCACTGAGCAGAGCCTCTGAGTCACTGTTTGCAAAACCGAATAAGATAGTGACACTGTTTTGTTTCCTTTTGTGAATCTACAATGCCATACATAAAGAATGACCTATGTATACTTACCTGAAAGTTTCATTACAAGATGCATGTTTCTGATCAGCCTATTTCCCAGGTGGAAGACACCACCTGGTCCCATGTTATGGAGCATCAGGTAGTAACCACGCACCCAGAGCCAGCATCACTGCATCCTGTGCTGGGTGCTGGATGAGGAGGAAGGGGCTGGAGAGAAAAGCCTATGGGTCAGATCACCCATGCTGGAGGGTAATGGTCCTGGGGACCCTCACACTGTCAGAGAAGGCTGGGTGTCACAATAGGGAAGAGAGCGGCTGGGATGTAATGCGTGTGAGCCCCACGCACAGAAGGCATGACCCCATCTTCACCCCAGAGCCCCAGGTGAGAAACACATTCACATTACAGTTCAATGCAACAAGCACAAGAGCAGAGCGTGCAGCTGTACCTCCTGTGCTTTCCATCTGGAGCTGGGGTGATCTTCCTGGCCCAAGGGTCCCTGTCACAGGGACTTGAATGCTGATGAATTGGACTGACAGAGGGGAAGAGGCGGGATTTGTATGGAGCAATGCCTACACATGCATTCACAGGAGCGGGAGGCATTCGGGAATGGCGGGGTGTGGCACAGTTGGAGCGGCTGGACTTTCGATCCATGAGAGAGGTCATCAGAGATGTGTGGTGCACACTTGTCTTCCCAGCAGGAGACTGCAAGTTCAAGCCCAGCCCGGGCAGCTTAGTGACTTAGCAATAAAAAGTTAAGAAAAAAAAGAGGCTGGGGATGTAGCTCAGTGTGAAAGTCCTGGGTAAATCCCCAGTACCACAGAAATTAATAAAAATGATAAATAAATATCTAAAAGGTAGTTTCGGATGTTGGTAAGGGGTAAAATGGCAGAGAGCTGGAGCCCCGGACAGAACCCTTGGGCTGTCCCCTCTCCTTGGGAGGACAAGGAGCCTGGCAGGCAGGGCAGCTGCGCAGCTTCTTCCTGTCTCAGGCCTGTGGAGTACGGCTTCTCCACGACTGTAGGACCCAAAGGTGGCCTCCAGCAGGCAAGGGACCTCCAGTGAGGTTCAGAGAACAGAACATGATCCCTGGGTGAGTGAAGAAGAGCTGCGAGGCGACACAGCCGTGACTTTCTAGCTAAGTTGCTGAGCAGACACTGGTGTCCCTGCCTGATGTATCAGCACTGGTGGTGGCCCTGTGTCTGGCCTGGAGCTGCCTGTGGGTCTCCAGGTTGGGATGAAGGTGGTCCAGGAAAGGGACAGTGACCTCCTTGCCATGCCTGTGTTAGCTGCACGAATTTGAAAGGAAGGAGATCTAGGGGCAGGAATCATGGGAACATCAAGATGAAAGAGCCAAGGTGGGACGGGAAGGTCTGTGGGGGAAACTGAGGCCTGGCTGGGAAAGGAGGGGGTCAGCAAGCAGTGTCAGAGCGTACAGGGCGAGCATTAGCCTTAGTGCTCAAGAGACAGCAGGTAAACTGCCCAGAGGCCCTGCATGGGGAGACTGCAGTTGCTGGGCAGCTCTGGAAGAAGGGCTGGGCGGGGAAGAGGGATACAGCAGGAGGGGACCCTGGGGATCACAGGGTCTGAGTGTGTCTCACTCCACATGCACATGGCTGGCAGTGGGGTGACCTAGAGGCAAAATGTGCCACTCACAGCCAATTGGAGGAGCAGGCTTATCTTCTAAGCAGAATGGCCAGCAGTGTCTCATTACCTCTTTTGATTTCTATGGTTGTTGATATTATTATTTTTGCAATCATAATTGTTCCTAAGACTGTGTTGGATCCTCAAACTCTGCTAGACATACTACCCAGTGCATGAAAGGATGTAGACTTGATTGAAAACATCCAAGCTCTCCGTGCCTTTGCAGCAAAAGGGACATTCCTTTTAGGTGAGATGAACCTTGGGTGGGAAAGTCATTCATGGTCATGGACGAGCATCTGAATGAAGTGTGGGTGCAGTTTGTTTTGCATGGGGGGACCCAGAGGAATAAAGAGGTGCCCTCTGAATTTCACAGCAGGCAGCAGATGGAAAGGAGGTTATTCAAGACCAGCAAATGAACACAATGAAAAGCAGGAGCTCAGCCAGTGAGGCACTTCCTGCCTTGGCACGCTGGAGACTTTCACTGTGAAGGTTTGGTGGGCTGTGGGAACATGACTGGACAGGAGCTCCTCCTGAAGGCTCTCACTCAAAATGATGGCCAGTGGGTTTTGCCATCATCAGCCAAACTCCGTGACCCTCTGTCCTGCAGGTCCTCAGTGACCTTCCTGTAGCACTGTGTGGCTTAACACATGTGTGAACCTTGCCTGATAGTCTTCTATTGACTTGCAAAATTCTAATTCATTAATGCAATGCTTTCTGGACCCCAGTAACTTTTCAGATTTAGTAGTAGCCATCGAAGAGCTTGATACCTAATAGGTTAGGAATATACGTGTTGAAGTGGAACTGCAACCAACTCACTCCAATAGAGGGAGATCCAGCTATGATAAAATGAAGGCACACATTGGTATTTTTCCTTGTGTAACTTAATTAAAATGTATAATAAAGCATGTATCTATAGACTATTCAGGTTTTCTGTCATGAAAAGCTTCTGGAGAATCAGCATCCATTTACTAGATGTGGTTTAAATGTTCCAAAGGAGAGTAAATCCAGGTTCTGGAGCTAGATTCAGTTATAGATTCAAGGAGGAATTCTTGCCTTGTTACTTATATTCGCTCCCTTAGTAAGTTATCTCATGGAAATAGGCAAAATAATATTTGCTTCCCAAGGAAGGAACAAAATGTAAATCAAAATTATTATTTGACTATTTCTTTTTTTTTTTTTGGTACTGGGGATCAAACATGGGTCCTTGCACTTGCGCAGCAGGCAGTGACTATTTCTTTTGGAACAAGAGGTGAAGCCTGTTTATTTTATAAAGTATTAGAGAAACACCAACACCAGTGACAGGGTTTTGTACACTGACAGAGTGGGAAACATTGTTAGTGATTCGTCATTCATGGTTGGAGAATATTCATCTTCAAACATCATCTATGGTCATCTATAGCTTAAAAATGACTAGATATGTGGAATATAATGATTTTATCATATAAACTATCTTTTCAGAAGTAGGTTCAACCATCTGAAAGAGTAATGTTTATAAGTCACAAAAACCAAATTTTGGCAATTGCAGATGGTTCAAGATAACATGGAAATTCTATTCACTCAGAAAAAAGTGGCATTTCAAATGCTGACCTACAAAGAGAAATGGTGGGCCCACATGCATTCTCCTGGGGCCCAAAGGCCTGCTCTCAACAGAGAGGAAAGTATTTTTTCTGTTGCTTTAAAAAGTTGTCAGATTTTATGGTAGATTATTGTTCAATCCCTTCATAATGAGGGAGCTGATGGACCATTTTTTGGAGCAGAGTAGATCAGCTACAAGTAGATCAGCTAAATGTATTTCAGGTTATACCAGCTAAGCCTCAAGTATTGTTTAGCTGAGTTTGTTGAAAGTCATGGTTACATTTATTTGGAAGTTGAAAATGGCTCATAAAGTGATGCCCACTAAAAAACTTTGAAAAAGCCTTAATAGACACTGTCTCCTTTGAGAAATACTATTATCTTTTATTCATTAAATAGAACAAATCAAGTTCCAAATGCCATATTGAAATTGCTGTGCTTTTGTTGTTTTTTATTACTAGAATAAAAGGGTCTAGTTTTTCTTTCTCTTGGCCTTTGAGTGTTGTTTTATAGAGGAAGTCAGGCATTATTTTGTTTATAATTAAAGACTATGTACCAAAGCACAATTTGAATAAGCAACTTTAATTAATCAGGAAAAAAACCCAACAACCTTCTACACCCATATTTCGTTGCTAAGAATGAGTAAAAAGGGTTTTCTTTTTCCCATTGAGGTTAGAAGCAGGTCAAGTCAGTAATTGGAGCTGGCTAGTCATCAGCTGGTTTGACCTGCTAGGCTAGAATTTTCTTTACTATGGGAAAGTGTAATCAGAAAACCAGATGTATCCCCATCCTGCGACTGGAGTGTAATGAGGAGCAGGCAGTTCATTCATTTTCCCCAAGCTTTTCAGATCTTCATTCAGCCATTAGGTGCTTGACTTTGCACTGGGCTGGCTGAGCATTGTTTTACTGGATTATTGTCCAGGGTTGTAGAAATGTAGATTCAAATGTTCATGCTGTCTCCGATCTCCTGTTTCCTTCAACAGTTGATGCCTATATTGCCTGAAAACAAGGAACAAACTGTAGGTTTCAAATAAATAAAACTAGGAGCCTGCTATGATGGCTTCGCTCCCAGTCATAAGGGTGTTCTCTTAGGGCCTATGGATGCTGTATCAGGCTGGTGGGGGATGGGTGAACACCCCCTCCTTGGGGGAAACTGGGGCCACACACAGCAAAAACAGGGACGCTCCACCAGACTCGTTTCCACACCACAAACCACCTTATTCTGTGTTCCACTCAGCGCATCTGTCCTACTTTCATCTTCAAGTTTTCCACTTGTTTCTCAACTTCAGTTCACTATTTAGATTCATCTGCATGTCCTAGTTTTCAAAAAGAAAGAGGTCACCTAAAATTTCTTTTTTTCTTTTAACAAAAATTTGCAGACAAAGTTGTGTATATCGTGGTACTATTGGGAGTGTTTTTGAAACAGGTTTGAAGCACCTTTCAGACATGAGCTGCTCAAAGGCCATCTAACTAAAGCAAGAAGCATGATATTTATTGGAAGCATAGAGGAATGGAGGAAAGAATTCAGCTTACGAAGCCATCAGCCTTTAGGAAGATGTTTTAAAGACCACAGTTAAGGAGGATGCCTCAGCAGACTGCAGAAGAGACGCTTCCTCTGGCTTCTGAAGGCTTTGTCATGTGGGCAACTGGGTCAACACCATGCCTCTATGTCCTCCAACTAATTTCCAAGGAAGTCAGTTCACATAATGATCCGGAAGAATCAAAGTGCTTAAATATTTTAGAGACATAAGAGTTGAAACTGGAATAATGCCTAGAGTCCAGAAGAGAAGTTCATGAATTCTTTAGCTTCTGATTTTAATTCAGTGGAGGTGTTGAAGGAAATAAGTCAAGTCTGGCCCACTCCTGTGCTTTTGTGCAGCTTGGATGTGGCTGAAACATCCAGGGGAGGGAGAAGAAGAATAGACAGCAAAATCGGGGATGTGTTTTCTTGGAATGATCTCATCCCACTTAAATATGGCAAATATCTAGTTGTAGGGATGCTTTGAGCATAGCAGGTGAGTTTAATTATGAATGGTGGTATTAGGTATTTGGTTGTAGAAAGGTTGGGAACTGTTCCTAGAAATATGGAAGAGGAAAGCTGAGGAAGCTGAGACTGCTACTTTTCTTGAATCAGAAATATGAGTGCTTCCCCTCAGATCCAAGCAGGAGACAGAGGGATTCCCCTTCTGTGGCTGAATGCTTCTCTTTGGGGCTGACTCTCATTTAACTCACAAAGTAAAATGATTTATGGTATGTGGCCTTATGACAGGGTAGAGTTTTCTCTTGTGAAGTTACTCAACAGTGAGGAATAAATATCACTGTTTTTGACCAGGTGCCTCACAAGATGTTTGGAATGATGGGAAAGGAAGAAGAGAGGATGTTAGAGAAATTTCTAGAAGGATTTCTAGGGGTATCATTTCTTTTTTCCTCTTCCAGGGACAGCTGCTTTGCCAATGTGGCTTTTCTGTTCTCAGCTTCCCCTCCTTCTTTATTGTATTTGACTTTTGTCTGCTTTCCCACCACCTGGGTCTTTCCCAGGCTCATCTCAGGAGATGTGAGTAGGAATTGAAAGGCTTAATCACACCTCAAAGGGTGTGGGCAGGCAGATACGGTGGCTTGTGCAGGAGAACTGGTGGGCTTCAGAGATGTGTAAGGGAGCATCCTTGAGCTGACCCTAAGGAATTTTGCAGGAAGTTTCAGCCATCTCCCAGAATAACGTTTTTTCATTGCTCTTACTTGGAACAATGATTTCAGTGCTGGGTAAATGTTTTGGTGTCACAGTATGTTCAGAAAAGGAAGGGATAGGAAAAAAGCAAAAATAGCTCTGAAAAAAAATCACTAGGGCCATGGAGTGAGCATCCTGAGTGTAATCCTCATGTTTTCTAGTTCTAAACCTCATCTTTTCTAGGACCAGTGGTCATCAGATGGAATCTGTCTCTAGTTCCCCGATCTGTTGTGTCTCTTCCCACAGGGGCTTGGCCGTGCTCTTCTCTCTGGACACATGCTCCCAATATTTCCCATTTCTTTGTTTCCTTCTCACCCGCCTCTGTAGGGTACTTGTCCTGGGTACCATTCTTTCAAGGTCGTGCTTACTCTGTAACCGGGAAACTTGGTAAACTAACTCAGCTCACTGTGCTCCTAGCAAGTTGGGTCCTTGAATCAAGCCCGGCCCAAGGGAACCTCAGAATAGGTGGCAGTTTGGCCTTTGTCACGGAGGGGACGAATGATCATTGGATTGCAGCTTGGGAGACTTAGGGATGCTCCTCAACTTGACCCTGCAGATTCTAACTTGTGCTGCCATAGCTTTAATTGCCTTTGTCTTTTTAATATTTTCATCCCTTCCTGTTTTAAAAATTTATATTATCCTACTAAATTCCATTGTATTCCAAACACTTGAAGAAATGATATCAAGTCATGCAAAAACTTTTCTGGTTTTTAAACTAGAAGTACATATTCCAGCTATTGTAGAGTTGAGGTCTTTGAAATAACATTGAAATGGCAGATGTGTCTACAGACATTGTAGGTGGAAACTACAGCGCACTCCTTGGAGATAAAAACACAAATTAATGAATTACGTTGACAGCAAATCAAGGCAGGTCTTTCAAGCTTGCCTGTTCGGAAATATTTCAATCACTTCAAAACTGAATGTTTTATCTTAGCCGTAAGTACATTGTCATTTCATTCAGTCTGCAGGAGGGTAATATACTCCTTAAGGATATAGATTTTATTCTTGGGATTTTCTTAAAGAATTCTATTAATAATATATAGGTTTAGAATACAATAGTATCTTTGAAAAGTGGGCATTACAAATATAAAGCTAAAGCAGATACAAAGGTAAGCAAAAATGATTCAGTAATGGAATGATACGTTCCTAATATTTGTTAATTTCATGTAAGATTAACTTTAATCAGTTTATGAAAAGTAGACATTTAAATATCATACTCAGAAGAAAACTTAAAAACCAGGTAAAATTCTTTGCTGTAATAAAGTTTATGTTGGATAACTAACAGTGAAAAGTTTTGTCCAAAGAATATATTTAATTTGAGTATAAAACTCTCCTTTAAAGCTCCCGGAAGAATAAAGAGAAATCATAGGGAGATTCTGGAATTTATTTATATTATTTTTTGTGGGCATATAATAGTTGCTATTTATCATTGAATATGCAGTCATTTTTAATTAATCAAATTTATTTTCATCCAGATTAAAGGCAGGGAGTTATACTCTGACTTCCCTGCTAAATCTGTATTGATGGCCAACATCTGTTGGAGATGAAATGAGAAACAGTGTTTAGTGCCAGTATCAGTATTTCCCAGATTAGCTATGTAACTGTCATTGATATATATATATATATATATTTATATAAATTACATGTATATAATAGACCATACATATAACTGAGTGCAGGTATGTAAAATAAAATTACATAAGATGTGTAATTATTGTAAATACCCGTAGTCAGTTATATGTATGACCTATTATATATATAATTTACATAATTTTAGTTGATAAAGATACAAATACAGAGAGGGACAAGGTGTAATGCCATAAACCGACTGACAAATAGCTTTGACATATGCAAAATACACATGGAAATTTAAAAAAGGATACAAAATTAAATGTAAGAAAGAGATAAAAGAAATGAAAAAACAGGCATTGGCCCATAGTATGAGACCCGTTAGGTACCGGAAATTACATCCACTTTGTCTTCTTTCTCGGAGTGCGTTTCTTGTTCCTGAGAAAGGGGAGATCAGGATCGACTATATCGACTTCATTAGTGTTTGACATTTGGCCACTTTTTAAAAATTGTTGAGTGCTTCAAAATGTTTAAGGAAGAAAAGGGACGCTGAGCCCCGCCAGGGTCCGGGAGGGCGTGGCCTGGGCGGCTTCGCCTCAGCCTCGGCTCCGCCCACGGGCCGCCTGCGCCTGCGCACAGCCACTGCTCCTCACCTGGATCAGCGCTGCTCACCACGCCGCGGCCCCCCACCTGAACACGGCACCTGCAGCACGCCCCTGGCGCCGGTGCAAGCTTTGGATGGCATTGACTGTGATGCCCCAGCCCCCATAACGGTGGCATCAGGGCACTGGGGTCAGGATGTGACTCAGAAGCTGATTTCAGCTGCTCGCTGAGGCTTATGCTTACCCACTTGTCCACTAACTGTGCACAGCACTCTCTGAAAGGCATCAGGCTCACCCTCAGTTCCTCAGCTTTGCCGAAGTGTTATGTTCCGGAGGAAGACGTGAGCCGATCTGTCAGTCATATCTGTTATCTGGCAAGAATGGGCAAGCTTCTGAATCTAATTATGCCTAGCTTTGTGAACTTGGGTAAATCACCGTACCACTGCGAGTCACGGGAGTTTAATTTGCAGTGCTACAGAATAATCTTAGAAGTTTCTTTTACCTTTGCAAAGCTCTTTCTCTCTCTCTGTACGATTAAGTATCTAAGGATTTTTCCAACTGTTATGCATTTTTCTAGAAACTCATATAAAAGGAAATCAAATTTGAATACAGCATCTTTTAACTATAATGTAGTATCCTGTGCTTCATTTACCTAAAGCTATCCAGGACAGGTGAGATCAGCCTAGATAAAGGGAGGGCATATTTATTGCTCTTCATTTTAGTAGCAATTTAAATTTCATAGGAACTTGTTTGCATTTTGTTTTGGTTTTAAAGGAACTCCTATCTTGTCATTCATTTAGGTTATCAAATAGGTGAGACAAATGTTTGGTTCCTACAAGCACACAGTGGGCCCTGATGATTTACAGGCCCATCTTACACCCGCCTACACTGCGTGGAGATGCTTTCATCTTAAGGTTTCAATTTTAATGAGTCCTTTGTGGAGCTGGCTTTGTAAGCAGCCACTTTCTCTACACGTCATGTAGATTGGTATTTCTTCTCTTGAAATATGCCTGGATTGCACACCCTGACATGCTTATAAACTAAATGCAGAAAAGGCACTGAAGAAATAATTATTTCATGCACAACATCCGCAACGTATTTCCACTGTTTAACCTCAGACACATTGTTCTCATTTCCACTCTTCACAAGACATTTGTTCTTTTTACTGTTCTCTGCTTTAAGTGGATGGGGATCATCTGGTGTGTTGATGTTATGAAATATGGAATTCTCATATTAATGGTTCCCAAATCATCTGGGAATACTTTACTCCATGTCTCTGCCATGATTCAGCATTACCTTGTATCATATAGAATGAGTGAACATGCTATTAAATTACCCCTTTTCACGTCACTCACATTTTTTTTATTTTTGAAGACCTCTGTCTTACTTCCTCTTTATGAAGTGGGTGACCACTGAAGTGTGACATCAAAAAAGGAAATCCCATGGCGTTTATGTGCAGTTTGACCTTTATATCAAGTTGCTGACGTCAGTGTATGAAGGACTTCAGGGGCTGAATAAAGGGATGTTGGAGAAGGGGATCTGAGGAAATTAAATTCTTTTTTATTTGTTTGATCAATCAATCAGTTCAGATAAAACAGATCAATAGGTTTGAAAGAAACCTGTCAGAAAAGAACCTGAACTTTCCCAATCACGTCAGCTGATTTTTCTAGAGTATCAATTTTGTTGCCTAGGACACTGTGCATCAAGCACTCTAGCTAAATGAAAAGAAATAAGATCAATCCATCAGTATGCTAGGGGCAGCCACCAGTTCACCTCAGAGCTACATTGCTGCTATCATTGCCTTCATTTTATTTTTGCTCAGCACTGTGGCAAGCACTGTGTGAGTGGCATTTCTGCTGTTAAAATAAGGTGCAAGATCCAAGGACTTTACCAGTGGAATTTCAATCAAAACAGAATTTAAGGAGAGATTTTAAAACTGTAGGCTTTCAAGACTAGTCTCTCTCCTTCTGTCTTCTTCCTCATGATCCACAGGACTCACAGAGTGGATTGGTGAAGGGTGAGGCCCCACAGGCCCAGCACTGTGGGATCGGAGAGGCCAGCTGAGCACACAGCCCAACGGCCGGCAGGAGAGGGCAGGAGGGACCTCGAGACATCAGGGCAGAGGAGCGGGGCTGACTGTCAGGCTGGCTTCAAGCCTCACCTCTCCTCTTGCACTTAGCTTTAAGAAATGAAAGGTTCCAGCTGGACCTGGTGATGCATGCCTGTAATCCCAGGGCTCTGGGAGGCAGGGGCAGGAGGATCAAAATTTAAGCCTAGCCCGGGCAACTTAGTGACTTAGACCACATCTCAAAATGAAAGAAAGACAGGAAGAAATTAAGGGTCCCAGTAAGAGACCACTATGCGTTGAACAGGAGGAGCTGCCCTGCATGCGTGCAGCCCTAATGTCCTGGCCTAATGAAGCCACTGGCTGGCTGGGGCTGGGAGGCTGTGGTGCAGATCCGGCAGGGACTTTTGTGCCTGCTGCCCCTAGTGTCCCGGGTGTGCTGCAGTGCAGACCGTGCAGCTGTGACCTCCGGCTGTGGTCCTTGGGCATCGGGGCCCGTCCTTACCCGATGCCCCGTGCGTCTCCCCCCTGGCTGTGCTGTGTGCCAGCAGGGATCCTCTGACTGCGCCCAGCTACCCGGGCAGGACTCCGTTTCCGGTATCTGGATCTCAAAGCAGTGAACCCTCATAACTGATAAATAAGTGGGCTTAACAGAGAGAGAGGAAGAGTGGGGCACAGAGCTCACTCAGGCCTTGAAGCTGCGGACCACAGCTCGGCTTTTCCTACGTCTTAACCCCGGGGACCGACAGAGGCACTGTTACCCTGAGGCTGGGCGACAGTTTCATCCCTCTGCAGGTATGAAGTTGGCATTGGTACCCTTGACTGCAGTCTAACGAGTCTGGAAAACGATCCTCTGCAAGAGGAGGACCTGGGAGTGGCTGGGCCTGGACTGGTGTTAGATGTCCTGTCCTGTCCTGTCCCGTCCTCCCCTCCAGAGCCACTGCATGGGCCGAGGTTGTGGCCAGACTGTCAATCCCCTGCTCACGCTGGCTACTGTTAGGGTACAAATTGCTCCCCTGTCCCAGGAGGCTCAGATAATGGGTCTGATTTCTGTTCTGACTTGGAATGTAATAAACGTCATAATCGAATGCAGATTTTTTTTTTTGGCACTGGGGATCGAACTCGGGTCCTTGCGCCTGCACAGCAGGTGGCGAAACAACTGAACTAAATCCCAAGCCCTCGAACACAGATTTTGGGTAAATAAAAATTCCAAGGGAGAAAATGCCCCCACATAATGCACGGAGACTTCCTGCCAACGTGCGACACATACCTCCTGAGCGTGTGTGCTCCGTTGGACTGCGGCCGTTTCTTCAGCAGACCCCGGACTCTTCCTTTGCCTCAGTGCTGGCTCAGTGTCCACGTCTCCATCTCCATGCCCTTCCTCCAGGGCGGCCTCGGGATGGGCACCTTGGCCAGGCACGCAGGATGCACTCCCAGAAGGGCCCGCGCTGTTTCATCTTCTGATGTCACTGTCTAGAAATTCTTGCTTTTTTTCAAATAAAAGTCTGCACTGGAACCCTAAATGGCCACCTATCTGCTGATAACGTGAAAATCTACTTTCCCAATCACCCCAGACCCCAGGAGGAGTCCATACTGCAGTGTCCGGGCCACCACTGCCTGGATGGTCACCTTTGAAACTCAAGCAGCCCCCAAACCCTTTCCAACCCTGGTAAAGGAGCCCCCAACTCCCGACTCGGGACCGAGGCTGGAGATGCGCTCCTCCCTGGCCTGGCTGGCTTCTCTGGGTTGGATAACTCAGCCTCCTCACCAAACTTCACTCAGCACCTCCGTCCCCTTCCTTCCATCCGGGCACCGTGCTCTCTCTTGGGGGTGCCTCTTGGTGGTGGCTGGCTCTGGTTTGTGTCCCCTCTGTCTATGGTCCACATTTCACTCTAGAGGCCCCTTTCAAGCAGCATTTCTAGTAACAACCGAGGAGCTGGGAGTGGTGGTGCATGCCTGTAATCCCAACATTCTGGGAGGCTGAGGCAGGAGGATTGCTAGTTCAAGCCCTCCCTGGGCAACTTAGTGATTTAGGGAGATCCTGTCTCAAAATAAAATTGAAAACACCAGCCTGGGAATGTAGCTCTTAGCACAAAGGCTGGGTTCCATCCCAGTGCCATAGTACATACATACATATAAATAAAGTGCATGGAGGTAGAGCGTACACCTTTTCTATGACATTCAGGTGTCCATTGGTGACCCTTGCCTTTAGTTCTGCCTGAATCCTTTCACCTAGGTCTCTCAGGTGAAGTGTGTGTGTGTGTGTGTGCGTGTGCATGCGTGTGCTTGTGCGTGTCCCTGTCCATGCCTCCCAGCACTCCTTACACGGCCCAGGGCACAGCCTAAACTTGTGGGCCATGTGCCACCAGCCTCTGCTCTCTTAGCTTTGGGCTCAAAGTGTCCCCAGACTATTTTCTTCTGGTTCTGACTTTACCTGTTTGTCTTCCTCCATCGGAAATGGTATGGTCAAAAATATAGGCAGTCGGATCCATTTGCTGTGTCCAGTGCCAGCGTGGTGGTTCAGAGACTAGAGGAGTGTGTGCAGCCTGCGGAGAGCCAGGGGGAATCAAGAAAATTCCTGCGCTCTGACTGTCCTCGGAGATAAGGTTTCTGGGAAGTGATGCAGATGAAATAAAATCACAGGGGCAGGGCTTGCTGTGATAGGGTTAGTGTGCTTGGAGAGAGAGATTCCGAAGTTGGTCTCCCTCCCTCTCTTACTGTCTCTACCTGCCAGGAAGCACCTCTCACCACTTGGGGATCAAGGGTGGCAGGCCCTGGCCCTGAACTTGCCAGCCTCCCAAGCTGTGAACTCTGGCTGGGAGTAGCCATCCTGGCTGTGGTCTCTTGCTGTGACAGGCCGGATGATGAGTGCATGGTGGTGAAGGCCGAGTTCTGCCTTTGTGCTGGGAACTCCTGTGTACAGCCTGTGCCAGAGGCAGT